GAACTCTGCAAAAAACGCATCTTCGCACGGGCAGCCCGTGCGTTGGCCAATTTTTTTTTTTTGTGGCAGCTTCTTGACTGGCTTTTCGCAGGGTTTTCGCGACAGCAACTACCGCAAAACTCACATTGCAACTGTCGCAAATGAGGTCGCCACCACTATGGGTACGCTTACACATCGCACATACCTCCAAATTGGATACTGCTTCGGTTAACAGTTCGCTCTAAAAATGAACACAAAAATTTTTTTCGATGATGAATTTCCCAACGGGAAATACAGCACATTTTTCGTAAGTTACCAACAAAACCGATGAAATTCGTAAAATTTATGGCGAGTAGCGGTCCGCAAAATGCTCACTCTGAATGCATCGTCGATATCCTCATAATCAGCATTGCTTCCACCTTTCGTCATCGATGATGTCAGGCTTGAGCTGTCCCGAGAGCTACCGGACGAGGAATTTTTATTGCCTGATGTAGCCTCTCCAGCTGGTGCAACCGCCTCCCATGTGAATCCGAGCTCCGGCCCAGACATGTAATCGAACGATGACCAGACCACTTTCCGAATCGGGCATCGATGCCGCAGCGGAATCTGAATCTTTCGTGATGCATCCTGAAGCATGAGGCCAATGAAGCGGAGCCCTATTTAAACAACAAAGCGAAATTCTATTTTTCTCTGAGACAAAAGAGTTCAAAAAACCGCCGCAAATTTTCGCCTAAAATAAAATTTTTCACGAACGATGGTTCTTCCTCACAGGAAAAAAAATGTATCTATGCACAAAACGTTTCGCTTTTCTATTTCTTCACCTATTTTCTCGAAATACTTCTGATCATCCAGTTAGAATCCCATGTTTCCTTAGCTTTTTTTTAAAGTAACTTATTCGTTTTCAGAAAAATTTTAGCATTCACGAATTTAAACTAATTTAATCGTTGAGCTGCATCGATGGCGTAACAACGAACATACAGCTGCTCAAGTATTCAATTAAGTAAACGGTCGAAATTGAACTGATTTGCGAGGTAACAGTTTTCGGGATAGAGTAATACGGCATTTCAAGGGCAACTGGCTAAAACTTCACCAAATGCAACTCTGTGGGGATTATCACAGAGTTGGTAATCTCTTCAGGAAACGAAACGAATGTCAAAATCTCAAGTAGGTACTGATCATTAGACTCCGACAGTGGTCAAAGCATTTTAAAAAGCCGCAAGCCGTATAGTTAAAAAGCAAAAGTATGAATAAAGCGTTAAACAAGTAAATTACTTCGATATTTTTACCCAGGTTACTCAAATTTGGGAAAAACTGCCTAAATTTGTCTCGGTCTTTTTACTTAAGTTACGTAATTTTGTGAAAATTTGATTGAAAAAAAACGGTGGAAAACCGAACCTCGAAAGCTTCATAAATTTGAAGGAATGCATCCGCTTCAACTGCTTCCAACGTATTCTCCATAGCCCTAACCTTCACTAACCATCCATTGCTTTTTTTTGGCCTAAAAGAGATACAGTAAATTCTGAATTGGACCTGAAGAACTAGGCAGATTCGCATTTGACTCTAATTCGTCGTCCGAACCCCCTTCCCGGTCCCTTTGCACCTGGAGAATATCTGAAACAGTTCTCAGCTCCCAGTATCGATGTCCATCTATACAGCCCGCGCCTCCCTCTTTGTTTGTTTCTTCCAACAAATTTACACAAAAATCATTAGCTCCAAGGGGTGTTTTCTTTTTTCAAGGTTAGTGCGAAGTAGTGGAACAATTTGAGCAGATAAGAAGCTAGAAGGCTGAAATTTTATCCATCAATCACGACTGGGTGCTTTCCGCCCTCACAACGCTCCAAGCAATCGATTTAGTACATCGCTCCGGCGTCATGCTGTTCTTTTAACACATCACTGGGGTTTCATCCAGCAGCAATTCGTTTCGTCCATCTGTTGTCACATAATGACCCAGTGGGCAGCCTCTCTTCCAGGCATAAATCGCCTCAATTGTCTTTTATAGCAGAATGCGGCCCACAGCGTTTCCGGCCCTTTTATACACTTAGTTTTCGGGGGGAAAAAAAAGTGGTGTCGGAAAAATTCGCGCCTGAGAAAAGCATTTTTTCTCTCCAAAAAGTAACCGACGAGAAATCCCAGTTCCCCCAATAATAATTGACAATCCAACCGAAAACCCCTGAGAATTACCGGTGCGCAACACCCTCCCTCCTCCCACTTGTTGCTACTGATAACCACCTCGATCCATCCTGACGACAGCTCAGCGATCACCAGCAAACGAATTAGCAAAACACACACGCTACTGCAAAACACACTGACACAATGCTAATTCACAACTTTCAATGTCAAAAAATTTATTGATTTCAATCCAAATCACATGCGATTACAATCATTCACGTGTGCGAACATGCATACGAACAAATAACATCAATAACATAAGATATCTGTACTGTCTGCCCGGGCTTTTTTTCCCAAACATCTCCTACAGTCCCACTTTAACCCAATGAACAAGGAATACTAAGACCACTTGGACTATCAGCATGCGTATTCCCAGTCACTGATGTTACTAAAATGCTCCCAAATGCCGTGCGCAGCTATGACAGGCCTCTCGACCCCGGACAGCACACCTCCTCGGCCTGTTCGATGTATGCGCGCACACCATTTGCCGAGTGGCCGAGTCGCCGTTTACCTCCCCGTTGGTATCACTCACTAATGCGCGTTGTCCACCGGTTGTGGGCAAGACGAACAACGAGATCGGTCCTCATCGGATTTTACTTTCTCATATGGTCATAGTGACATTTTACACACTGACAAGAGACAGAGGATGTTAAGATATCATTACATATAAACATGAAGATCACCTCTTTACTACACGTATCTTTGCCAAAGTGCGATTAAAAAATATTGCCCTGTACCGAAAGTTCGTGCCAGCCCCAACAGCCCGGTGTTTTTCAGAATTTACTGATTGCGGTGACTCCAAGAAATTTCGGAATTCGTCCGGGTTTTCTTCACGAATAAACATACCAGCAAGTAGAAGTAGCTGTTGTGGGTAAACTTTATGCTTAAATTAATTGATACACCGTATCACGTTGTCGACAGTAGTTGGGGAAACCCCTAAAAAATGACGAAGCGGGACAACACTACGACTTCTAGTCCCGGGATTCTTTTTATGCCGAAGGCAAGTAGCATTTCTGCTCACTTTCAACGGACAATTTCAATTTTGCTTCTGTATCATAGTCAAAGCAACCTGGAGAAGTTGTTAGCTGCATGGATGAAGACCCATAATTCTTTGCAAAACTTGAATTTCATACACATTTTTGTGTTCTCATAACCTATTGACCCGTTACGTATTTTGCATGCACTGCCAGCAATTTACTGAATAATTATATGGATGGGCAATGTACGGGCGAATTAGGGGGAATACTGGTAATAATTATGCTCTTCAAATTTTGTATGTACTGACAGCAATTCCAGAGGTTCCATGCTAACTACGACGGGGATTTTTTTACTGTGCAATGCAGTACAAAAAGTTAAAAAAAAAACCGGTTTATTTTAAAAATCACATTAACTGGGCAAACATGAAATTCTTGCTCCTGGAAAATCACTGCCTAATGTGCCTTATTGGCTTGTCCAGTCCGGCTGGGTGGCCGCGGCGGCCATACCATGTCTACTCGTTCCACATCGAGTTCCAGTATGTCCATTTCACCGCATTCAACACCGAGCAAATCAGCTAGCGACGGTCGCGTTCGTCCAAAATCACCGTGCACAAATTCCTTCACATAGGTACCTGCTTGAGTTTCCAGCCTTCAACCATTATTTATATGTTAGGAAATTGAGTTTCTGCAGCAAAAAAAGGAAAAAAAAAAGAATAAATCAGGAGCAGAACGAAGCAAAAAGTATTTTGTTTACCACACACAAAAACACATCCTGAAACGTCAAATGCTTTGCAAAGAACTTCTGGGGTTTTCTTTTTTTTTTCGGGAGGAAACCAAACTGAGTTAGTAATCCCCTCAAATAAAACTGGAAAAAGCTTGCCTTATCAAAAAATGATAATCGTCTAATTTGATTGCTGCAATCGAAAATACCGTCCTTCGTCTTTCGAGCAGTGGTCGCCTCTTTAGCACCCGTACAGGGGTTTTCTGTACCAACTCAATCGGTGCTTTACTGGGAAGTTCATTCAACAAGAGATCATCCAATTTTTGTGTACTGTAGCAATAACCCGTATACAATTTTTGCTTCTCTGCAATAAAATACTAGTAGAAGCCAGAATTTTCTTCAGACAAACATAATTTTTTAGAAATTCAAGAAGTTCGTAGTTCAACGAACGAAATTATTTCACTGCCTCTGTACAACGACCCTCCTTCCTACCGATCTTGCTAGGATACAAGCTAATAGCGTACTTCTCTTACTAATAGTTAAAGTCAAAAGTCAAAACTCTCTCCGTATTCACTTTCTACAATAGCTCAAGTGACAGTAATCAAAAGACTTAGGTATGTCAATTTTTTCTTCGAACCCCTCACCTATACGGTTGTACTCTGCTGCATCGGAAGTAAATGAAGTAAATTTGGATTTTAGAAAAATATTTTATAATTTCGATATAATGGACTAAACCATTAAAAAAAAATAAAATAAAATTACTTAACTTACAATCAAAAAAGTGAAAGAAAAAATAAGATCCAAGAACTTTGAAAGTTATTTTTCACAAACTAACAAAGAATTCTGTTTGTTTGTAGGACATCATCGACAACACTGAGGAATATGCCGAAAGTTTCTTCGTTCACTACTTATAACGGCGCCAAAAAACCCCCAATTTGCGATAAAACACGCGAAAAGACTCACCGTCTTGGTCATTTTTGACAAATGAAGACTGTTCTGCGCTGATTCGTCGGAGACCAGGAACAACTCGAACATCGGTATTTTTGTTGATACAATTCTCCATCCGTTTTAGTGTTGCTTGCAAGTGATCCCTTCGAAATGAATTCGTTTTCTTTGGATTAATCAACTGAAATTGCTTCCTCTCAAAGACCTATTATGGCTGTAACAGCTTACCTCAAAAAAAAAAAAAATTTGTCCAAAGAATGCAGTTTTGTGTGACAGCAACTAAACCTCACGGCTGAGGGGATGGTGCTATTTAAGTTTCCTCTGAAAACGTAATATACCAGTACAAACGATATTCAAAAATTTTTTACCCAAAACGAATTTTCACTGTGATATCTTACACTTTATGCATGCTCATGCATTATGCGTAAAACAAAAGCTAAATATGTATCTTCCATATTTCACATCATCATTTAACAAAGTAAAAAGTACCAAAAAAATACCAGACAATCGATGTGGGAATCCTCTGCAAGTGATGCTACTGGGATGATCTCACAAACTGGGCGTAGTTATGACAGTTTCTATCAAAAAAACAAAAATACGACCTGTATTACAAAGGGCCGTCCGTTGCCAAGCATACGCACGTCTATATCTTCGCGACCAGCAGCCATAAAACGAGTGCTATCGCATCTGGTTTCCTCAATCAGGCATGCGACAATTTTCTCCGAAATCTAGAAAAAAATGTAATAAAAATTTCGAAGAATATTGAAAATTCCACTCAAATGAATCGCCTAAATTATTTACGAATTTCTTGATTCGTCAAAATTTTTCATTATTATTACTATCATTATTATTATCACTATTACTATTACTAATATTATTATTACTATTATTGTTACTATTATTGCTATTACTATCACTATTATTACTATTACTATTAAAAAACTTAGTAGAGTGTCTTGTTGCAACCAGAAAGTAGTAACTCGAAGCGGTGGTGACTGCAAGAAAATTTCCAGCAGCTGAAGCCTCGTCAAATGCTTCCTTCAAGAAAAACACTAAACAATTAAAGAAATGGAATGAATGCCAGAATCGCCAACAGGCTAATGCAGTATTGATTAAAACAACTGGAAAAATCACTAAATGTATTTCTAAAGATTCAATTTACGAACCAACACTGATCTAAAAATTCCAATAAGTAAACTCAAACATTTACCGAATTTCCAGGAATTCTTGGTTCATCAAATGAGGAAGACCACGGGCTTTGCGGTAAAGTTCGGGAAAATTTCAAATATCGTCCAGCAATAAACAATGGATTACGCTCAAATGCGACTGTATACGTACAAGGTGCCGAAGGAGAAGCCATTCTGTACGATCTGCAATATATACATTTTAACAGCGAAAATTCTAGTATTTCAGAAGCACATAATCCAGCAAGAAAAAAAAACCAAAACATGGAAATAACAAGACTGTCATATTATTAAAATATGATACAAATATCACAATTATTTCTTCGCAAATATTATCACGTTTTCATTTCTAAGCAAATTTTTTTTCTCCCTCTACAATACAGCTTTACGGCGGTGGGGGAGACTCGCAATCGCACAGATGATTCACAGGAACATTCAAAATTACCTAACAAAAGTGAGGATAAACTATACAGTGCATATTCTCTGTCCAGTTTATGCGCAATATTGGCTATTCGTTGCTTCGTATACATCAACAGGACGGGATCCTGAACTGCACCACAATGCAGCCGTTTTTTAGCAACTCGAAAATCGTCAGGACACTTTCTCACGAGATACTCCACATCGGTCACGTTAAATTCATCATTCGTGAATGTCAGGGTGAGCGTCAAATCTGAGTTTAACGATGGCAACAATCCGGTAGCCTGAAGAAACAAAAAAAATTTATACAGTCTCCGAACAACGATGTTTTCTACTTGTTTCCCGCAAGGAAATTCTTCGCTGAAAGCGATGTCCTGTCAAAGAAATAGTCTCTTATTGCTCGAAGTACTGCCCTTCTTCTTTTTGAGTTTTTTGTGCACTATTTGCTTGGGGGATTATATTTCCTAGCGCCAAATTTAGCATTATAATTTTAAAAAAAAAGCAAAAAACAAGAAAAAAAAATAAAAAATAAAAAAAAAGTAAAAAACAAAAAAATTCCATGTCAAAAAACAATTTAATACCAAAACTAAAATCCATCCGCCTTCCCCACCACAGGTAGACAGTCATATATCAGTGAATGGTGCCTTGAGCGACTTCCGTTGGGGTGGGACTCGCACATAAAACAAGCGGTGAATGTTACTTTGAGGGCCTGGGTTGCCGAAAATTCTTCTATTCCGAAGATTTTGGCTCCTTGCATTAATAAAACAGTATCCGAGGATATGTCTGATATTCTACAGCAGTTTCATTTAAAACACATCAAACAAGGCAAGAAAGTAATGAATCTTACTACGTGAAAAAAAATGTCCCTTTGTTTTTTGAAATATTCACAGAAGATGCGTGCACGTCTGTGGCGTGAGGTAACAAAAGGGTGGAAAAGACGGAAGGACTGTAAGCAAAGCTGAGGATTTTTTCTTTTAATGCAGAGCCAAAATCCTTCGAAAAGCCAGATTTCGCGAATCCTTGGTTTCGAGCTGTGGTTGTCGTTTTCTTTCCGTGGCACGAAATGAGGCAATTATTTTTTCTCATGGAAACTGAGGTTTTTTTAAAAGTTTTGTTTCTTCTAGTAGCCAAGCCAAACCTGACGAATGCCGTCCAAATAGCTGTTGACAATGCGCATTTTGAAGGGAACACTCGAGAGGGTGCCATTTGAGAAGAACGTGTGGTAAGCCTTTTCACAGAGGGATTCCCGCAGAATGGCCGTGACAGGCATGTTTATAGCAAGCAGAAACGAACGTGCATCGTAACCACTCCGAGCATGGACCCGTTTCACCTCAAATGAACGCAAATTTGCAGAAATCGAAAAACTGGTAATTTAAAAAACTAAAAAAATCTGTCCCTTGGTCGATACGATACCTTAGCGCGTTTTCAGAGCCGTAACGCGCAAGATGAAACGGTTAAACTCAACATATACGCAAAAAACATTGACAGACCTCAACCCACATCAATAACCTAACTATCTTTTCCATCACAATTTATTCACTAATTCCGCTCCACATTATAATTCATGAATTTCGGCCATCCCATATTTTCCACAGTTCGGACTGGCCGTTTTCTTCAGAAATTACGGTTCAACCTACCAAAGGCCGCAAATTATTTATCAATTTAACCTACTCCAGCCGTTCCACTCGGACCGTCCACTTATGATTCGGCCTTCTCTGATGGCTGTTACTTAACATTCCTTTCAAAAAAACTAAAACCTCGCCAAGTACTACTGCTACGAGAATCTTTGAAGTGGTAGCACCGCTTCATAATACAAAACAAACATCAGAATCGCCAGCAAACTGACTACCAAACGACGCAGCAACTGAAGGAAGTTATTAGCTGATCAAAGACGAGAGCCTGTTCAAACGAATTCGAATTCGGTTTTTATACGTTTTTTGCAGCTATGCAATGCAAAAAACGCATATTGACGAGAGGTTGTCTGTGTGTTTGTGTGTGTGTGTGTGTGTCTGTGTGTTCGTCTGTACCGGTTTTTCACCTCGAGACCGGCAAAAGCTACGGGGCTGAAACTTGGGGGGTATAATCTAA